CTTGGTGGAGATAAAGTCGAAAAGCTGAAGTTTTGTGAACCCTGTGTACTTGGAAAGTCCTGTAGAATGAAGTTCAACAAAGGCAAACAAAGAACACATGGATCCCTTGATTACATCCATGCTGATCTTTGGGGGCCTGCAAGGTGTCCATCACATTCAGGAGCAAAGTATTTTCTATCCATAGTAGATGACTATTCCAGAAAGTTATGGGTATTCATCCAGAAGACTAAGGATGAAACTTTTGAGAATTTCAAAAGTTGGAAGACTCTTGTCGAAAATCAAACTGGCAGAAAAGTAAAGAGGTTGAGAACCGACAATGGCCTTGAGTTTTGCAATGAGGCATTCGACAGTTTTTGTGTTGCCTCTGGTATTGCAAGGCACAGAACTACCGCAGGTACTCCACAACAAAATGGTTTGGCTGAAAGGTTTAATCGAACTATTTTGGAGAGAGTTAGATGCATGTTGACCAGTGCGGGATTAAAGAAGGTGTTTTGGGCTGAGGCTGTTTCGACAGCAGCATATCTGATAAACAGATGTCCTTCGACAGCGTTAGATATGAAGACACCTGAAGAAGTTTGGTCGGGACATCCACCAGATCTCGACAAACTAAGAGTATTTGGCTGTGTAGCCTATGCTCACATTAGGCAAGACAAGGTCGAACCTAGAGCTCTGAAATGCATGTTTATGGGATATCCTGAAGGAGTGAAAGCTTATAGGCTATGGTGCCTAGAGCCAGGTCACAGGAGGTGTATCACCAGTCGAGATGTAGTTTTCAATGAAACTGAAATGGTTTTCAAGAAAACTGATGATGTTGACGAAGAGCTGGAACAGGTAGAGATTCCTGTTGAGGTGGAGCATGTTGATGCTGAAATGCGTATCCCAGATGAAGTCGAAGAAGAAACAGAAGATTCTGATGATGTTGAGGAAACTGTTGATGACTACCTATTGTCGAGAGATAGACAAAGAAGAGTCATAAAACCACCTCAGAGACTTGGATATGCAGATCTTGTAGCTTATGCCTTAATCTCTGCAAGTGAAGTTCTAGACGAAGAACCTAGAGATTATAAGGAAGCTATAAGGAGTCGAATGAAGACTGGATGGCTAAAGGCCATGCATGATGAGATGAAATCTCTTCATGATAATCACACTTGGGAACTGATCAAGAAACCTGTTGGGGCAAGGTTAGTCAGCTGTAAGTGGATTTTCAAAGTTAAGGAAGGAATTGAAGGAGTAATGTCGAAAAGGTACAAGGCAAGATTAGTCGCAAGGGGTTTCACTCAGAAAGAAGGTGTCGACTTCAATGATGTATTTTCCCCTGTTGTGAAGCACAGATCCATTCGAATGTTGCTTGCCATGGTGGCTCAGTTCGACCTTGAACTGGAACAAATGGATGTGAAGACTGCGTTCCTGTATGGTGACTTAGATGAAACGATCCTGATGAGGCAACCTGAAGGGTATGTCGAAAAGGGGAAAGAAGATTATGTGTGCAAACTGAAGAAATCTTTATATGGACTTAAACAATCTCCTCGACAGTGGAATAAGAGATTCGACAAGTTCATGGAACACATAGGTTTCATTAGAAGTCAGTTCGACCACTGTGTTTACTCCAGATTTCGACCTGAAAATTCATTTGTTATTTTGTTGCTTTATGTTGATGATATTCTGATAGCAAGCAACAATGTCGAAGATGTAATGAGGGTGAAGGCTGAACTCAATAAGGAGTTCGACATGAAGGATCTGGGAGCTGCATCTAGGATTCTTGGAATTGACATTCGAAGAGATAGAAAGCAGTCAAAATTATGCTTATCTCAAGAGGCATACCTACGAAAGATTCTTGACAAGTTTGGTATGTCGAATTCAAAGCCTGTTGTGACTCCAACAAACCCTCAATTCAAGCTGAGCATTGATCAATGTCCCAGTACTGATGTCGAAAGAACCTATATGAACAGCATCCCATATGCTAATATAGTTGGTTCTTTGATGTATGCTATGGTCTGTACTAGACCCGACATAGCATATGCAGTAAGTCTTGTAAGCAGGTACATGGCGAATCCTGGAAAGGCCCACTGGCAAGCGTTAAAGTGGATTCTAAGGTACATAAATGGGTCTCTGAACAGAGTCTTAATTTATGGTGGAGCCTTGGGTGAAGATAGTAAAGCAGCTGTCGAAGGCTATGTTGACTCTGATTATGCAGGCTGTATGGATTCCAGAAAATCTATCTCTGGATATGTTTTCACTATGTTTGGTACAACAATTAGTTGGAAAGCAACTCTTCAGAAGGTTGTTGCCTTATCAACTACTGAAGCAGAATATATTGCCCTAACTGAAGCTGTGAAAGAAGCATTGTGGCTTGAAGGTTTTGCAAAGGAACTGAAACTTCAAGGTCAAGGTATCACTGTTAAATGTGATAGTCAAAGTGCAATACACCTGTCGAAGAACTCAGCCTATCATGAGCGAACCAAGCACATAGATGTGAGGCTGCATTTCGTCAGAGGGGTAATCGAGCGTGGAGAAGTCCAAGTGCTGAAGGTCTCGACAGAACACAATGCCGCTGATATGATCACCAAAACATTGGCAAGTTGCAAGTTTTTCCACTGTATGCAGTTGATAAAGCTGCATGAAGAAAGCTAGTTAATGTCTCTTGATGCTGTAGAGTTAGGTCCAAGGTGGAGATTTGTGGGATTTGGATCGAACTCTAGTATGATCGAAGTACATGCTGTAGTCGAAGAAAGGGTCTAGCATGTATTTGTCGAAGATGCTTATTAAATTAGGTTTTAGTGTTTAAACCCTAATTTGTTAAGTTAGCTTGTTTATTAAGTTAGCTTGTATAATGGGCCTTGTGGAAAAAGCCCATTAGTTAGTATGTTAGGTTTTATTATAAATAGCATACTAGTCTCTCATCATTGCAACACACAGCAAATCCTAATTTAGGGTGAGAGGGTTATTTGTTATTCTTGTAAACTTGTAATCTTGTTTTCTAAGAGAAAGTAAAGAATAGCAGTTATAACCAATTCTTGTGTTCTTCTTTCTCCTTGTTTGATATTCCTCCCTTATTCTATAATTTGTTATTGGCATTGAATTCACAACACTTTCTATTTTTGATATTACATGTATAGAGAGAAAAGTACTTAAACACCTCAATAAACTTTATAAAGATGACATATTTACAAACAAATTTTAAACCTTTATTATTTTCCAGTTCAAGATATGACCTTGGTATGCTCTCTAATAGATTGAATATTAGTCTTTTACTACCAGCAAGTTGTTGTGTATCTATCAATGAATTATATTTATCGAAAAAAGTAATGTGTTCTAAAACATCAAAGTAGCCCTTGTAAATAGAATTTTGTGTACAAAATGTTATCTTTTTAAAATTATAAGTTAATACCAATTAACATATACAACTTTTTCGTTATTTTTTTCCTTTTTGTTTGACTCATATTTTGTTATTTATTTTCTTGATTGGAAGTTCATTTCAAAATTTCTAATTTTCTATTATGCGTCGTTAAAAAATATCTTTAGTCGGTCTCTTTGGTCATGATTACAATTTTTGTAAATTATATAATAAATCAATCTGTCAATTTTTTTAAAAAGTTTGGTAGGCCAACCCAATAACCCTCCAACTTATTAGTAAATGAGACAGACTTTATTTTTGAGTTTGCACTTTTAGACCATCCACTTTTAGATGAGATTAAACGGAGTTTACTTAAATGGAATTGGCCGTCCACTTTACCACTCTAGCTGTTATTGCTGTCAATTGCAAAACCACCGCTGTTAAATGTTGTTTTAACATCCTTTAAAATGTTATTAAATGCTGTTTTGATAAACTGTCAAATATATCTAAAATGCTAACATGCTATAACATACTATTTTAACATGCAGTAACATGATGTATTATTTCTCTTTTTTTTTATCATAATAGAATTTGAAAGTAAACAGATAATAACTTGCAACAGAAAATAGGAAGTGTCAACTTGATATTTATTTGGAGGAGACAAGTGTATATTTAAGTTATTAAAATTTTGATGACTTGAATATTTTTCATTGGTGGGAGGGATATTGAAATTGGTTTAAAGAATTATCTTTATTAGTTTGTGATTTGTTAGACTTCTATATTACTGCCGTTGCATCTGAATATGAATATACTTTCAGTATTGTTTCAATAATTTAAGATAAATATAGAAGTCATTTGTTGTCGAAAAATATAAAGACATTGATTTGTATCTACCGTTAACTTGATTTGATGCTTTCAATAATTTTGGTACATAATCAAATACAAAAACTCCTCTCAATACTTTATGATAATTTAAATATTTTATTAATTAAATTACTTACACTTAAATTATTTTATATGTGTAATGGGTGATGATGAAAGTAATGATGATGGAAGTTTGAGAAAAAAATATTACAACTTAAGCATCATTTTAGTGAATATTTTATATTTGTAGTGAATGTAGAGATTTTGATGTTAAATTTAGCTACTTATGATTTGTTTTGTAATTTTTGTTGACTTGTTTGAAGATGTAAGGTATGTGTACTCAAATTAACTGGTTATTTGGATTCTTCACATCCATATTTAAATTTAGTTATTAAAAATCGATTAAATATTAATATAATTTTAATAAAACCTATATTTTTGATATGTTATTATTAATATGATTTTAATCGAATCTATATTTTAGACATTTATATTTAAATAAAAATTAAATTAATTTATTTTTTGAAAGTCACAAAAAATATTCTATATTAATTTAAAAAAAAAAAATTTCAAAAAAAGTTCTTTTTAAAAGAAAATTTGTTTTATGAAAAAAAACTTTTTTATAATTTTTTTCTTTCTGAAAATTAAAAATAAAATTAATTTTTTCAAAAAATAAGATTTACTATGATTGGTTGATATAATATCTTATTTGTAATTCAAGTGTACATCAAAGTAGGATGATAACCTTTCAATTATGGACATATATTTTTGTACAAATTATTCCCCATAATTGATCAAATATTCAATCTTCATGCTCTATTCTCATGACATCGATGTTAGACTTTCCATCAAGTTTACGAGCAAATAAGTTGATGAAGTACTCCTCAACTCCAATTTTTCTAAATCGTGAAGGTGTTTGTTGAGTAATCAAGCTCTCAATAGGACCTACAATACCTTCTTGTTTTGGACTATAGAATGTTGCAATTGAAAGTCTTTCTTTTTCCGTGTTCACTACTGCTCGATGTTCTATACTTCGATATATCCCATTTGTAATAATCTTAAAACATGAAAACATATAGTTCTAAATTGTTAGACAAATAATATTAATGAGTTTTAAAGATTGAGTCCAAAGATCAAATTTATCGAAAATACTTGACTTGTATGCTCAATGAAATTCAATAAAACACAAATTCAGACATGAATACTGTAATATGATACAATACAAACACTTTAATATCAATTACATAAAAAATATAAGATATCAATAAAATAATTTATATAATAACATTTAATATTCATTTAACATTCTATTATTAAAATATTTAACCTGTGTTGTGTAAGTGAAGAATACCGATTTAGAAAACGTTGAAAAAAATCATTTAAAAAAATACTAGTTTGATTTTTCTATTTCTTAGACTTTTTCTACTAGTCGATTTAGATGATATATGGAAGACTTTTCCTAATAATTAATTGATATGATGTATAGAAGAGAATTTTTACCTCTAGCATGTCCCCAATGTTGACAATGAAGGCATTAGATAGAGGCTTAATAGAGACCCACATGCCATCTTTCTTTACTTGGAGTCCTTCTACTTCATTGAGCTGTAGGAGGATAGTGACACCTCCAGGATCTGAATGTTTTGTTAGGCCAATAACTTTTTCAGGTTGAGGACATGGAGGATAATAGTTCATTCTCATCATTTGTATGCCATCTTCAAACAATTCTCTCATTTCCATTTCTTTTATATTCAAAGCTTTTCCTATATGACCAACAATAATCATGGCTAGATTTTTCATTTCTTGTGAGTATAACTCTAGTGTTTCTCTGCATGATCATTAAAGAGTATTAGGTGATTAAAAATAATAAAATAAATAAATTAAATAAATTAAGAAATTATATGATATCTCTTACTTTACCATCTAATTTTGTAGGAATGAATTAAACTAAAACTCTAATTTTAATATAAAATAATAACAATAAATAAATCGAAACAATATATTAAAATGTTAATTGACTAAATATAAAATTCATCTATAAAAAATATTAATTTAAATTTATTTTCTAGATATGTTTTTTAAAGTAGATTTTTTTATGATTAGTTTAAAAATATTTAAACATTATAATTTATTTAAATAATTCAATTTTTTTGTAAATGTAATGTTAAAAAATATGAAAGATTAAAGAAAAATATGTATTGACACAGTACAATCAATAATATTTACTTTTGTATTTATATAACAATTATAAATGTAATTTTTTTATTTCTGTGATAAATTTAGGATTATAATATTACAAATAATATATATAATAACTTAATTTATAATAATACATTTGACTGTACTATAGAATCATCTTATCGTCTCCATATCTTTACAATAAATAGTTAGATTTAAAACACATTTGAAAATTATACGTTAAATTTTTGTATTCTTTATTATCTTTTTACGAATTAAATATTCAAAAGTAATATTAAGTTAAGAGCAAGAGGATTATATACTATATTTTAATTCAAAATTTTAGAATGTTAAATAAATAGATCATCTTATTTTTATACTACTTGATATACCAACAAATCATATCTAATTTCTTTGAGAAATTTATATATTACCTACAAAATCAAAAGAGAAAATCACCTTAAAGGAAGAGGAAGTTGTGGAAATAAGTGAGGCATTCTAGAATGTTTAGGAAGTGTTGTCATATAAAACATATCAGCCCAATCAAGTTTTTGTTCATCACTCACAACAAATGCTTGTCCAAATCCCTCCATATGTTGTTCAGTTTGCCAAAACTTTTTCTTTTCAGACAATGGAAGGTTGAAAAAATCTTGAATCTCCAATTTTACTTTCTCCACCAAGAAGGAACTAACACCATGATTTACAACCTACAATGATTATCATTTAACAAAACATAAATCAATACAATTTTGCAAGTGTTTATACCAATAAGTAAGTTCAAATAATTCAAATTAATAAAGAGACAAAAGTGACCTGAAAGAATCCCCAATCTTTGCAAGCAAGGTGAAGCTTAGCCAATTCTTTACTCCCAAATTCTTTTGAAAGCAAGTTATGAATATTAATAATTGGAATTTCAAGTGTACTATCAACTTGAGAAAGAATAGAGTCTTCAAGTTGAGGCTGAATATATCTTGGTGGAACAGTTGAAAGCTTTTCATCTTTAACTAACTCTTGAACAGATGGTACCAAAAGAGAAGTGCCTGATGGGTTCTTCAATTCTTCCATGACCTCTTTGTTATTTTTAAAAAGATTTTCCATTTAATATATTACATTGAGAACTTCTATTTAAACACAAAAACCAACACCCCTTGCATATCTTATCCTATGAGCATTGATGTTATCAAAGATTTTACTTTTTAAGATTTTTTATTGTTTTGCCACACATTTTAAATAAAAATTTTAAAATATCACACTTTTAAATTAATATTTTAGAATATCTTATTTGATAAAGGGGTTCGGTCATTCATTAGATAATGAATAGAATGACATTTTTTTTATGTGAAGACTCGGTCATTCATGTGTCGAGGGGATGCATATTTATATTATTTCTCATTTTTCTTATATTTATTTTAATGCTGTTACATAGTTTTTTAATTAATATAATTTTAATATTATCTTAAAAAATATTAATTTTTTAATTTAATGATTTTTGTCTATAATTTTTTTTATAAATTTAATGTAATTGTAATAAATTTTATATTATTTTTTTATTTGTACTTACTACAAATAATCTGTTCACCATCAAAAATGTCTCCGTCTAACCAATAAATTAAGTTTCTCTGAAATTGTTAGAAGGTCTTCGTGTTTTAAAGTTGGATCTTTATCGGAGACTTTATTGGCGGAAAAAAATGAACATTTCTTTTGATAATTGAAAACATTAAAAGTATTTTTGAAAAAATATTTAAGAGTGAAATGAAAAAATGTGTGATAAATGATATGAATACACAGATGACCATACAAAACAATTTATAAAAAAAGTAATAAAAAATATTAAAATAATAAGAAAAACAAAAGAATGGTATAATATTCATGCCCTCGATCAATGATTGACTGAGTCTGTTCATCAAAAAAATTGCAGTGTCGGTCAGTGGATGGTCGAGTCCCTTCGCCAAATAGAGTATTCTAGAACATTAGTTTTAAAATGTGGCATTTTGAAACTTTTGTTTTAAATTTGTGATAAGACAGTAAAAAAAATCACTTTTTAAAGATCAATATGAGTGTATTCGATTTTGTAGTGAAAAATTAATTGTGAGCGAATTATTTTTGGTTAAAAGTAAATTGAATGTAAAATAATTAATATTTAAATAAATTTCTGTAAAAATGAATTGAACGGTAAATTTCAATATAAATATTACGATTCAAAATATACAAATTTTAACTTCAAATAAATCAAATATAAAAAGCTTAATAAAAAAATCTCTGAGAATAACCAAAAATATCAAAATTAATTGTAAACATTTATGATTAACTTTGGATGCTCTAAAACCAAATATATACTAAATAAAATTTCACAAATTCAAATTTACAAATTTCTAAATGAAGTCCGTGCACAATAAAGGTGATAATAAGCCGAGCCGAATTAATCTTTATCAAATCTAAATCTGACATACAATAAATATTGAAGACTTGATTGACTCGTTATTATATTTAAAAAGATATATTATTTAATTATATATAAATAAACAATCCAGTTAACGTTTATATACACTAAAAAAATTAGATCAATAATACTAAAAATTTATTTGCATTTACTTATCTAAGATTTTATAGTAACATAAATTTTATGAAATCATTTGTTTAAACAAATTTATGAAAATAAGTCGTGACATTTTTTTTTTGAATAAACAACATTGTATTGATTTAAAAAATAATATTGAAGTATAAGATGATCCCTAAATCCAGCCAACGAAAAAGACAAAAGCAAATCATAGAAAACTAAATCATCAGTTTAGCTATATGATCTCTAAGATTCCTACTATGTCAACCTATGTAAACTACCATATCTATAATATTATACGTTATTTTTGTATTATCAACAGTATTATCGAAACCCGTATCATTACGGTATCTTCAGACTCTATATAAAGTTTCATCAGCAGCTAATTTCAAAATTGCATGTCTCTTTCCCTTCCCTTTTATGGATGATATTAACCACCCTAATTCTTCATTCCACTCACGCGGTACTTTCTTGATTTGGACCCAATCAAGAACTTTAGTCCAAATTATATTAGGCTTCGGGTAGCCATAAAACAGGTGATTGATTGATTCCTCAGCAGGACAAAAACAATAATTACCATCTTCAATCATATTAAATTTTTTCAGACGGTTCTTTGTGGCTAACCGCCCATGACAAGCAAGTCATAGAGTCGTCAAAGCTCTAGGCCTTGCTGTATTCCCCCGAAACAGATTACACCAACACACTTTTGGAGTGTTGGTGCAAAGACTTTTATATACCTCCCTCATAACATATCATTTTTTTCCTAGCATATTGTCCCATATAGGTTAAATGTCCAAAATGCTACGATGCTTCAGGATACTTTTCATAATCCATGAGTTGTGAGTCTTCACACTCACATTCATCAGTGTGTCCTTATTCAAGTAGTAGGCATTGACCCACTTCACCCACATACTATCAGATTTACCACTAAAATTCTAAAGGAGTTTCAATATTGTTACCTTATTCCAAATCTTAAGTTCAATAATGTTTAGCTCTACATAATCCTTCGATTTGCACACAAACTCCCAAGCACCTAGACTCTTTCTCTTATCTCTGACCCTCCTATCCAGAGAAATGATCTATAAATAGCTTTAATTTTTTAAGTCATGACATTGTTCATAAATTATTTTAAATTATTTATATAAATTTTCTAAGTAAATAAATTTTATAATTATAATTTGATTTAAAGTATCATACATAACATAGTAATAATAATATAATTATTATAATAATAAAATTATTCATATTATTTAAATAGAACAACTTGAGAATTTTTTTAGCAATAACCAAGTATTGAAAAAAAAAACACAAGTAACCATGTTTCGGAAAAAATTACGCAAATAACCATGTTTCAGAAAACCCCACAATAGAGGAGCCAAGTGAGATGGCGCATGCACTCACCATTTTGGTTTAGGCGCCATCTCACTTGGTGCATGCATTCTATTTTAGCCAAGTGATATGGCGCACGCACTATAAAAAGGAGAAGAGACACCATCTCACTTGGCTACTACGTGCAATTGTGTTTTCTATAAATAAATCACCCATTTCTCTGTCATTCTTCACACTTTCTTGCACTGTCTTCTTATTTTTTTCCTCTGTTATTTGCGTCATGACATCTCTCATGATTTTCACCAGAGATGGATATGTTATTTTCTCGGCCACCAAACCTCCGATGAAAATGAAATTCTGACACATTCACTCCATGGAGCATCTGAAGAGAGAGTTGATGCGATGGCTAGAGGGAGATATCGAGTATGGGGAACAAATTAGAAGGATCCAGAGAATAAGAGCAGCCACCTCAGTTGCAACTGGAAGACCTAATTTTTGGTTGGAGGAAGTCAAAATAGACGGAGACGTAATGGTGATGATGCATGGTTCAGATGAAATTGGTTTGACAATTGTAATTTCTTAGACGTTTTATCGTGTTTTTATTTGTTGTTTGCGTATGATTTGTTGTAACAAATTCTCTTAATGAAAAACAATAATGTTTAGAACTTTAAAAAGTGCATATGGTTTGCATACAATTTTTATGGTGTCGAGCTTGTAGCCCGAGTGAGACAACTTATTCGATTTTGTCCGACCTGACGACATAAACCACACTTTCTTTCTAGCTTGTCAATGGAGTCCATTTCAGTTGTGATACACTTGCTTTTGGGATGACCCTTTTTATTCCTTCGCATTTGATTGTTGTGCCATACTATTTCCCCGTCGTATGCAGGCCAATAATCAGGTTTCGCTACCAATGGGAAGTCATTGTTGTATACGTCGAGCAAGGTTTCAGACTTGTAAATGGGAGATAGAAGTTGTAATACGTCTTGATAAGTATACGCACATTCCACAATGACATGAGAGCAAGGCATACGAAAGTTGCCACAATCGCACCAACGAGATGGTAGTATAACCCTATACTCTTGTCTTGGCAGCCCCTCGTTGTGGTCGATTGTATCTTTGAAAATGAAGTTGTGGCTGTGTGGGTCGAACAGATGGGTGTTAGCTTTGGCACTTTCTGCCTTAATATACTTCATGCAGCTTTCACTCCATAGTTGTCACGATTGTAAGACCGCATTCCATATTTCACCTCTTTTGGAAAACAACGAAGCCATCCTAAAATATGTTGATTTAACCAAAGCGGTTACTGGGAGGTTTTGTATGCCTTTGAATACACGGTTCATGGATTCAATAAGATTTATTGTCATGTGGCTCCATCGTTATCCATTGTCATATGACCTCGTCCATTTCTCCATTGAATATTATCGATCCACCTACCTGTGTCTGAATTTGACAATCCGATCTCGTTGCTATAGTGTTTGAACATAGGTTATGTTAATGCATACCCCATGTTCATAATTGTTTTCCTAAAAGCCTTGTCTTTAATCTCCCTCGTGAAATTTTGTACGATATGTCTAATGCAGTAGACATGCGTAGAAGGAGGGTCATGCCAACCATTTACAGGATTATTGTATGCACTCTCAGTAGATGCATGTCTGTCGTACCCCAAAATTTGCCCTTCCGTTTTTCATATTCTAGGGTTTCTCGAATACTCAATTTGGCTCAGAAGTTAGTCAGACAGATTCTCTTTAGGCAGCAAATCAACAGTTAGGGTTTGGTATTACTCAGAGAAAATTGAGTTTTCAAGGTTTCAAATGGTCTTCATAGGTCCTCCGGTCTCCTTAAGGATGTTTATGCCAGTTTTCAAACGTTGCATTGCAATTTTGCTCAATCGATGGCTCAGATAACTGAAAACGACTACATTGACCCAAAAATCGACCTCTTGCAAGAACAAGTTCAAACGATTGTAACTTCTTCATTATTCGAAATTTTTGAGCGTTTTTTCTTGTGTATGATTCTCTTTGATGTCATCCCCAATTTCTCTTCACAAATCAAGAGTTGATTACGTGTAGAAGATCACCAAAATTCGAATATGTTAGAAGTCACATCGGGGACTTTGACCTAATCTTAAATAACTATTGTCTAATTTCTAAGAATTGTGATTTCCTCAAATTACAAG